ATCCCAAATTCTGCCCACAGGGATCCAGCCCTCGAGCAGCTCCACAACATTACCATGGATGAATCCTGGGAAGGGGCTGCCAGAGGGGGAACTGAGACTCTGGAGGGAGTTTGGTCCCTGTCTCCCAGCTGGGATTGACTTCCTAAAGGAAGCTCATCCATCCCAAATTCTGCCCAGAGAGACCCAGCTGCACACACGACAGTGTCATGAATAAATCCTAGGAAGGGGCTGGGAACTGAGACCCTGGAGACACACATTGGGTCCTTGTCTTCCACCTGGGATTAACTTCCCAAATTCAGCCCCTCCATCCCAAACTGTGCCCCCAGGGCTTTGGGAATGCCAGGCTCACCACCGGCTCCGTGTCGGGCACGGCCTCGCCCCTCCGGGTGCCCAGCAGGGTGTCCAGCACCATTTTCCAGCCCGGCTCCGCCTTCCCGGCCTTCTCCCCGTGGGATGCAGCATCCTCCAGGGAATCCTGCCCCTCCCTGGCGCTCACCCACGGACACCAGTCTCGGTGCTGGGAGCTGGGGTGGAAGAAGCTCCTCGTGGAAGCGTCCTGGGAACGAGAGAGGAAGGAATGCAAGGGGGGGTGAAATCCCAAACCCCTGGATTGGGAACGGCATTCCCGGCATTCCCGGCATTCCCAGTGCTCACCGAGCCGCCGGAGGAGCAGAGCCGTGCCCGCTTGGCCCTGCGGATGGGGCTGGATGGCACTTCCATGGTGTCCCCCTGGCCCATGCTCCGCGTCACCGGGCGGCTCCGGAGGGACGGGCTGGACACCTCCAGCTCCCCCCGGTCCATGGAGCCGGGAGAATCCCAACCCCGGGATACGGGGCGGGACAGGGATGGGGAGGGGCTCTTCTCCTGCTGCAAGAGGGGAAAAACAGGGAATTAGGGAGATGTTCTGGACACCTCCAGGTCCCCACAGTCCATGGAGTTGGGAGAATCCTAACTCCCAGGGTGGGACATGGATGGGGATGGGCTCTTCCTGTGCTGCCAGGGGGGAAAACAGGGAATTAGGGAGCAGCCTGAAGGGGGTGGGGAAAATAGGGAATTAGGGAGATCCTCTGGACACCTCCAGCTCCCCCCAATTCATGGATTTGGGAGAATCCCAAC